ATTCTAGCCAGGAGGACCCAGCCACGCGCGGCCATACTGACCGTGCCCAGATGCACCAGCCATTGGTGATCCAATCCACGTTGACCCAGCCATGCGCGGCACCCATATCTGCACCAGCCATATCAGGCACATATACTTTATGCCAAGTATGAATCTGCCACACTCGGCCCACAAGCCCTTGCCGAGTTTTCCCCGGCCAAGGTTTTGGCTATCAGCTATGCACCAGCCAAAGGCGCCTTATAGTTCGTGTCGATCAATGACCCAGCCATGAATCCAAAATAACGTGGCCTTTGAGTCGATCTTTGATCAGCTTTCGCTGATCCAATTGCGTTTCAATGTTAACGCGCAATGATCTCCATGCACAATAGCGTGGTCCTGCCATAATGCAATTTGTCTAACAATCTCTCTCATTACAGGCTCACCTGCCTTGAAATTCTTGTAACGCCTGTAATTTCTTTGATTGACCTGAAGGCAAGATCCTGCCATCGCTTCCAACTAAGGAGGATCCAGCCATATGCGCCTTTAAGAGCCCTCTGAATCATGTCATCAATGAACCAGCCAAGCTTGAGCCAGACACGAATTGCCATCAAGCCCGCGCCGCGGATGTTCAGTCATGCCAAGGAAGATCCACCCACATGCGCCTTTAAGCGCCCTCTGTTCCCGTATCCCGTCCCGTTCCCAGTTCCCGTACCAGCAGAGGAGTCGCAGCCAGCGACATAGACGGCGCAAGGAGCGCCAAACACTGAGTACGGACGGAGTCGCAGCCAGCGACACGGAGACGCAGCCAGCGTCAGGACAGGAGGCGCAAGGAGCGCCGAGCATCAGCGGCAGCAGCCAGACGGCACAGTTCCGCCATTTTGGAGCGCTAGGGCAGCGCCATATTTGGACACTTGGAGATGCAGCATTCCCCCAGGAGGAGTTCCCGGCTGAACGGAGGGGAAGCCACCCCTACAACAACGCAGCAGCCAGCGAGTAGTGCAGCAGAAAGCCGGCCAATGGTTAACATAACCACGGCGGCGGAAATTTCGGTGCGACCAGTGGGGCCTACACGCTGCCGCCATCTTGGAGTGGACCACCGTTGCTAACGACTAGCAACCCACTGTGCGCAACAAGTGCTGCGCAGACAGCGCATGAATTCGTGCTACCGGGCGGGGGCAACTACATCTCCATTCGTGGGATCCTACGCCTCGATGACACCGATTGGAACCCAAGGAGCGAATGGGCCAAGGAGTCTCCCGGACTTGCCTATATTTGGAGGGCAGCCCGAGGATTGGCCCATCTTTAATTGTGCGTCTGTGGAGACGACCCAAGCGTACAACTGCATGGACCTGGAGAACAACCAGAGGCTGTTGAAGGCGCTGAAGGATGAAGCACGCGAGACAGTGAAGTCGCTGCTGATTCACCCTGCAAACGTCAGAGCCGTGATGGAGCAGCTGCGCTTTAGGTTTGGCCGACCGGAGCAGCTAATACGCAGCCAGCTGAACAGCGTGCGAGAGGTGCAGCCGATTTCAGAGCAGCAACTGGCGAGGATCGTCCCCTTCGTAACTAGAGTGAGTAACCTCACGGCCTTCTTGCAGTCGGCGAAGGCGGAGCAGCATATGGGAAACCCCACCCTCATGGAGGAGCTTGTGGCAAAGCTTCCCACAAGCAAACGAGTGAATTGGGCCAGGCACGCTGCATCGATCGAGCCCTTTCCCACTGTAGCGCACTTCAGCGTGTGGCTACAGGAGTAGGGAAAGGAGCCGAGGCGTCGAGTTCTGCACGCGAGCGTCGACCAGGACCGATACGAGCAGCGGGATGACCGGCATAGAGGTTGTCCAATTTGTGGAGGGCAACATGCTACGACGAACTGCAGGGAGTTCATCGGAGCTTCGCCACCGGGCAGGTGGAGCATGGTGAAGAGGCATCGGCTCTGCTTCACATGCTTACGAAGTGGGCATACGACCAGATCCTGCGATGTGCATCGCGAGTGCCCGATCGACGGATGCCGCAGATTACATCACCGTCTCCTACATGGAGAGGACGAAGAGCGAAGAAGGCCGGAGCAGCGAGGTGGCTTCAGGCGCCACAACGGAGGAAACCAGACGTCAGCTGTTTCCAGACGCAGCCCGGAAAGGAGGTCTTCGCCACGAGGTGGTTACAGGGACCACGACAGGACCCAGGAGTCGGCTGTCCGCAGAAGCAGCCTGGAGAGAAGGGCCCCGCAGCCAGCGGAGGCGCCCATGCAGAGGAACTTAAGCATTGACTTCGAAGGAGGCCGACTTTTGTTTCGCATACTGCCAGTAACGCTGTACGGAGCTGGTCGCCAGGTGGACACATACGCGCTGTTAGATGAGGGATCCTCCGTCACGATGATCGACAACGAGCTACGGAGGGATCTGGGATTGCAAGGCGAACATCGACAGCTTAACGTCCAATGGTTTGGAGGAAGAGCCAGCAGGGAGCATACCAACGTGGTGAGTCTGGAGATAAGTGGAGCTGGGAAGCCCACTCGCCACCCGTTGAGGAACGTGTACGCCGTTTCAAATTTGAGTCTGCCGATGCAAACGTTAAGTCGACGAGATGTCCAGGGCGTCCAAAGGGATTCGCGACTGCCTGCTGCCCTACAGCAACGTGGTGCCGAAGTTGCTAATCGGACTGGACCATGGTCATCTGGGATTGCCACTTAGGACGAGGCGGTTTGCCAGAGAGGGACCGTATGCGGCCGCAACCGAGCTTGGGTGGGTTGTGTTCGGGCCAGTAAGTGGAACTACGCCGTCACCGAGGTCCTGCCTTCTAGCCGTGTCAATGGACGACACGATGGAAAAGATGGTGGAGGACTACTTCGAGATGGAAAGCTTTGGTGTGAAGCTCGCGCCACCGGTCGCAGCCAGCGACGACGCGCGGGCAGAAAGGATCCTCGAAGACACCACGGTGAAAGTGGGGCGTCGCTTCCAGACGGGATTGCTCTGGAAGGACGACCACGCTGTGCTGCCACGGAGCTATGAGATGGCGCACAGACGGCTGATCAACCTTGAGAAGAAGTTGAAGCGCAACGGGCAGCTGGCTCTGAAATACGACCGTATCATCAAGGATTACGTTTCCAAAGGATATGCAAGGAAGCTGCAGCCGGATGAGGTCGCGGTGAAGAGCGACAAGCTGTGGTATTTGCCACATTTTGGTGTGGAAAACCCAAACAAGCCCGGTAAGGTCCGGCTTGTGTTCGATGCTGCAGCCAAGGTTGGAGGAACCTCACTCAATTCGGCGCTGGACAAGGGGCCACAGCACTACAAGCCCTTGCCAGCTGTGCTCTTCCGCTTCAGAGAAGGAGCAGTCGGAATCTGCGGGGACATCAAGGAGATGTTCCACCAAGTGCTGATCCGACCCGAGGATCGATGTTCCTAACGGTTCCTCTGGAGAGATGGCAACGACGATCGAGAGCCGGATATATACGAAATGAATGTAATGACGTTTGGAGCAGCCTGCTCGCCAAGCACTGCGCACTACGTCAAGACGGTGAATGCCCTAAAGTTTCGGGATTCAGATCCGAGGGCAGTCAAGGCCATCATCGACCACCATTATGTCGACGACTACGTGGATAGTTTCGATACGGAGAGCGAAGCTATCGAGGTATCTACCCGAGTGAAGGAGATACACGCGGAGGCTGGATTCGAACTATGCCAGTTCTCATCCAGCTCACCCATCGTGGAAGCGGCGTTGGGACCACCTGGACAGGTCAAGAGCGTCGGATGGGGTGAGTCTGAGCAGAAAATCCGTGGAATGCGTTGGCAGGTAGCAACGGATGACTTCAGATTCAACGTGGAGTATCATCGAGTGCCAAAAAGCGTCCTAAGTGGAGAGCGAGTCCCAACAAAGAGGGAGTTTTTGAGCCTGCTGATGTCAACGTTCGACCCATTGGGGTTCCTGTGCTGCATGATGATTACAGCGAAGCAGTTGCTGCGGGAGATCTGGAGGCAGAAGATCCATTGGGACGAACCGCTGCCGGACGAGATAGGCAGAGCCTTTGCTGCCTGGCGCAGAGAGATGGACGCCGTGGGACAGTTCCGATGTCCTCGCCACTATTTTGGGCGTGGAGAAGTTTGGACCATCGAGCTACACGTTTTCGTGGACGCAAGTCAATCTGCGTTCGCGGCGGTGGCCTATTGGAGGGTCACGTACAAGAATGGCAACGTGCTGGTTAGCTTCGTGTGCGCAAAGACGAAGTGTGCGCCGATGAGAACGATGTCCATCCCACGACTGGAGCTGCAGGCAGCGGTCCTTGGAACCAGAGTGATGAATACTGACAAGGAAGAACACAGTGTGGACATCAGCGAGACGGTTTTATGGACGGACTCAAAAACGGTGCTGAAATGGATTGGCAGCACTCACCGCCGGCATAAGCAGTTTGTTGGCAACCGAGTGGCGGAGATTTAGGAGTCGTCGAAGGTTTCCCAGTGGAGATGGGTACCTACAGCTGACAACGCAGCGGATGATGCGACGCGGTCGCAGAGCAAGGCGGACCTTAGCCCGGAATCCCGGTGGCTAAGCGGTCCCGCATTTTTGAGGCAGCCAGAAAGCGGCTGGCCAACGCCTGAGAAGGGAACCGAGCATGTTCCAGATGCACCTGACGAGGAGGAGATGCCCGAAATGAATTTGTCATCCTGTTCCAAAGATTTTCGAGCTTCAGTCGCCTGGCGAGGACCACCGCCTGGGTCCTGAGCTTTGCGCGACGGTGCCGCAAACAGAGAAGCGAGCTCGAGGAATATGGACTCACTGCAACGGAGTGTGAGGCCGCGGAGAACCTGTTAATCAGGCAGGCCCAATTGGAGGCGTTTCCCGACGAGATGAGGTCGGCGGAACGCGGAAAGGACGTCGCCAACTCGAGCGAGATTCGAAGTCTGGCGCCTTACGTGGACAAGTATGGAGTTCTGCGAGTTTATGGCAGAGTCGATGCCGCGCAGTCCATGCCGTACAGTGCGAGGAGGCCCGTGATACTGTGACACAGGCACAGTCTCACGGAGATGGTAGTAAGACACTACCACGCCCAGATGAAGCATCAAAACGTGGATGCGACGATTGCCCAGATCCGGACGAGATTCTGGGTCACAAAGATAAGACGAGTGCTGAAGGAGGTAATCTCGTCGTGCAACGAATGCAAGCTACAACGGACGCGGCCGATGCTGCCGATAATGGGACCCCTTCCAGAGGATCGCTTGGAAGCTGGAGGATGGCCATTCAAGTACACAGGACTAGACTACTTTGGGCCACTGCTGGTGACTGTTGCCCGTCACAGAGAGAAGCGTTGGGTCGCCTTGTTCACATGCTTGACGACAAGGGCGATTCATCTGGAGCTGGCACATGATCTGTCCTGTATAATAGCGATCAGGAACTTCGTCTGCCGTAGAGGACCAGTACGTAAACTGCGGAGTGACAACGGCAAAAACTTCGTGGGAGCTGACAGGGAGGCCAGACGATTTGGAGACGTGTTCGAGACGGAAAGGATACAGAGTGAGTTATCCAGCAGGAGCATCGAGTGGGTTTTTAATTGCCCATCCAACCCGTCTGAGGGCGGAGTATGGGAGCGGATGGTGCAGTGCGTCAAGCGAGTGCTGCGCCATACCCTGAAGGAAGTCGCGCCGAGGGACCATGTGTTGGAGAGTCTACTCATAGAGGCGGAGAACATAGTCAACTCGCGTCCGCTCACCCACTTGCCAGTAGATGCGGACCAAGAGGCGCCGTTGACGCCAAACGACCTGCTCAAGGGAGTAGCTAACCTGCCAGATACGCCTGGATTGGATGCCGTGCTGCCCAAGGAGGGTTCTACGCGAAAGCAGTGGAGGATTGCCCGCATGCTGCGAGACCATTTCTGGAGGAGGTGGGTCAGGGAGTACCTGCCTACGCTTGTGCGCCGCGAGAAGTGGTGCCGGAGAACGGAGCCCATCCGCCAGGGCGATATGGTCTTCGTCTGCGATCCTGCCTTGCCCAGACGAGGGTGGCGCAAGGGCATCGTGGAGGAGGTCTACAGCGGAGCTGAGTCGTCAGACGCGCCACTGTGCGCGTAAATGATAATGGATTATCTTGGACAATGTTGCGGCCCGTCTCTAAACTTGCAGTTTTGGATTTGAGTGAAGCGGGTCTTCACGGGGTCGGGGATGTCGACGGTCAAAACATTGTTAAGTCAGTATTAATAGGAAATTTAGTTTTTTTTAAGTTATTCGATTTTTGACCCATTGAAGTACGGGCTTATTAATCGCGGTTATGTGAATGCCGCCGAAAAGTGCCTTTCATTGTTTTTTGAATTGTAGGAGGGCACACTGCGGTAAGAAGAAGAGATATATTTGAATTGTAAACTAATTTAATGAATTTACAGAATAAAACGTTCCGTTCCGTTAGCCACAGCCAAGGCCTTTGAAGTACCCCTTTCTTCGGACCTACGCGTGTGGGGAGCCGTTTAAGGCAACTCCACATGACACAAAACAACAACTGGACATCCGCGGCGCTGGCTTGATGGCAATTCATGTCTGGCTCATATTTGCTGGTTCATCAATGACATGATTCAGAGCGCGCTTAAAGGCACATGTGGCTGGATTCTCCTTAGTTGGAAGCGATGGCAGGATCTTGCCTTCAGGTCAATCAAAGAAATTACAGGCATTACAAGAATTTCAAGGCAGGTGAGCCTGTAATGAGAGATTGTTAGACAAATTGCATTATGGCAGGACCACGCTATGGTGCATGGAGATCATTGCGCGTAAGCATTGAAACGCAATTGGATCAGCGAGAGCTGATCAAAGATCGACACAAAGGCCACGTAATATTGGATTCATGGCTGGGTCATTGATCGACACAAACTATAAAGCGCCTTTGGCTGGTGCAAAGCTGATAACCAAAACCTTGGCTGGGGCAAGCTAATTCCAACAATTATGACAAAGAGAATAGAAACACACACACTCATACTCCTGGGTCCTGAGGTTTGCGCGACGGTGCCGCAAACAGAGAAGCGAGCTCGAGGAATATGGACTCACTGCAACGGAGTGTGAGGCCGCGGAGAACCTGTTAATCAGGCAGGCCCAATTGGAGTCGTTTCCCGACGAGATGAGGTCGGCGGAACGCGGAAAGGACGTCGCCAACTCGAGCGAGATTCGAAGTCTGGCGCCTTACGTGGACAAGTATGGAGTTCTGCGAGTTTATGGCAGAGTCGATGCCGCGCTGTCCATGCTGTACAGTGCGAGGAGGCCCGTGATACTGTGACACAGGCACAGTCTCACGGAGATGGTAGTAAGACACTACCACGCCCAGATGAAGCATCAAAACGTGGATGCGACGATTGCCCAGATCCGGACGAGATTCTGGGTCACAAAGATAAGACGAGTGCTGAAGGAGGTAATCTCGTCGTGCAACGAATGCAAGCTACAACGGACGCGGCCGATGCTGCCGATAATGGGACCCCTTCCAGAGGATCGCTTGGAAGCTGGAGGATGGCCATTCAAGTACACAGGACTAGACTACTTTGGGCCACTGCTGGTGACTGTTGCCCGTCACAGAGAGAAGCGTTGGGTCGCCTTGTTCACATGCTTGACGACAAGGGCGATTCATCTGGAGCTGGCACATGATCTGTCAACGGATTCCTGTATAATAGCGATCAGGAACTTCGTCTGCCGTAGAGGACCAGTACGTAAACTGCGGAGTGACAACGGCAAAAACTTCGTGGGAGCTGACAGGGAGGCCAGACGATTTGGAGACGTGTTCGAGACGGAAAGGATACAGAGTGAGTTATCCAGCAGGAGCATCGAGTGGGTTTTTAATTGCCTATCCAACCCGTCTGAGGGCGGAGTATGGGAGCGGATGGTGCAGTGCGTCAAGGGAGTGCTGCGCCATACCCTGAAGGAAGTCGCGCCGAGGGACCATGTGTTGGAGAGTCTACTCATAGAGGCGGAGACCATAGTCAACTCGCGTCCGCTCACCCACTTGCCAGTAGATGCGGACCAAGAGGCGCCGTTGACGCCAAACGACCTGCTCAAGGGAGTCAGCTAACCTGCCAGATACGCCTGGATTGGATGCCGTGCTGCCCAAGGAGGGTTCTACGCGAAAGCAGTGGAGGATTGCCCGCATGCTGCGAGACCATTTCTGGAGGAGGTGGGTCAGGGAGTACCTGCCTACGCTTGTGCGCCGCGAGAAGTGGTGCCGGAGAACGGAGCCCATCCGCCAGGGCGATATGGTCTTCGTCTGCGATCCTGCCTTGCCCAGACGAGGGTGGCGCAAGGGCATCGTGGAGGAGGTCTACAGCGGAGCTGAGTCGTCAGACGCGCCACTGTGCGCGTAAATGATAATGGATTATCTTGGACAATGTTGCGGCCCGTCTCTAAACTTGCAGTTTTGGATTTGAGTGAAGCGGGTCTTCACGGGGTCGGGGATGTCGACGGTCAAAACATTGTTATCGATAGTTAAGTCAGTATTAATTGGAAATTTAGTTTTTTTTAAGTTATTCGATTTTTGACCCATTGAAGTACGGGCTTATTAATCGCGGTTATGTGAATGCCGCCGAAAAGTGCCTTTCATTGTTTTTTGAATTGTAGGAGGGCACACTGCGGTAAGAAGAAGAGATATATTTGAATTGTAAACTAATTTAATGAATTAACAGAATAAAACGTTCCGTTCCGTTAGCCACAGCCAAGGCCTTTGAAGTACCCCTTTCTTCGGACCTACGAGTGTGGGGAGCCGTTTAAGGCAACTCCACATGACACAAAACAACAACTGGACATCCGCGGCGCTGGCTTGATGGCAATTCATGTCTGGCTCATACTTAGCTGGTTCATCAATGACATGATTCAGAGCGCGCTTAAAGGCACATGTGGCTGGATTCTCCTTAGTTGGAAGCGAAGGCAGGATCTTGCCTTCAGGTCAATCAAAGAAATTACAGGCATTACAAGAATTTCAAGGCAGGTGAGCCTGTAATGAGAGATTGTTAGACAAATTGCATTATGGCAGGACCACGCTATGGTGCATGGAGATCATTGCGCGTAAGAATTGAAACGCAATTGGATCAGCGAGAGCTGATCAAAGATCGACTCAAAGGCCACGTTATATTGGATTCATGGCTGGGTCATTGATCGACACGAACTATAAAGCGCCTTTGGCTGGTGCAAAGCTGATAACCAAAACCTTGGCTGGGGCAAGCTCGGCAAGGGCTTGTGGGCCGAGTGTGGCAGATTCATACTTGGCATAAAGTATATGAGTCTGATATGGCTGGTGCAGATATGGGTGCCGCGCATGGCTGGGTCCTCCTGACTAGAATCAATGATGGCTGGTTCATCTGGGCACGGTCATTAAGGCGCGCGTGGCTGGATCATCCATCAGTTTGGCCAAAAATGGCGGCGCAACTAGGCACGAACATTGGGCCGCGCATGACTGGGTCATCCTTCTGTTAGGCCAAAAATGGCTGGCTCAACTGGGCACGGGTATTGTAGCCGCGCATGGCAGGGTCATTCTTCAGTTGGCCATGGTTGGCAGGCTCTTCAGGGCACGGTCGTTGTAGCCGCGCGTGGCTGGGTCCACCTCGCTAGGATCGAAGATGGCTGGTTCCTCTGGGCACGGTCGTAAGGGCCGCACGTGGCTGGGTCCTCCATAGATGGGTCAATGAGGAATCTAAACATAAATAGATTCATTGCCAGTGATGGCGTCAATAAAAGAATCGTGCCCTAGTAAGGATTGCATCTCCACGGACAAGGGAGAACCAGAGGCAGCCGCAGAGTTGTCAAACGTAACGTCCGTGATTTCCAACATGGCAACCACTTTGCCGAGAGTTTGGAGGAGTTTGTTGAAAAGGCCTTCCAAGTGTTCCAGCTTGGTGTGCGTGTTTTTTTGAAGCAAAATTAAATCGGCCACAGACTGCTGATCCAGTTTCGGTTGATGCTGACCCTCATTATGTTGCCGACGGCCAAGTTGCCGGCATCCATAATGATTAAAGTCCTGGAAATGGCGAGTCTGGGCCGCATCCTTCAATCCTTGCTCCAATTTGAGTCTTGCCTGGAACTGACTCAGATGTCTCTCAGCCGGGTTGGCTCGCTTGGCATTCATGGCACTTTTGCGGCTCCCATTGGCCTGATAGCTGCTTCTAAAGGGATTAGGTTTAGAAACCCGCCCACGATCCTGGCGCTGGCGTTGGCTGTTTTGATGGGGAGTTGGCTGTTCTACAACTTTGGGGCGACTCTGGCTAGTGTCACGCCTACCGCTAGACTCCTGGAGGATATGCCAGTAGTTGTTATTATTGGATCCCTGTAATCTACGCTGTTGTTGTGATTCGTAGTTGGCATTTGGTCTAATACGCTGAGGGTTTTGGGAGGAGACTGGCCGATGGTAGGGGGATTTGGCATAGTATTGAGAGCCATACAGCTTGCGTTTGATGCCCTTGTAGATTGGCAGCCTCTATATGCACTAATGTGCTGGCCCCTGCAGTTGCAACACCAAGCAGCAGTGCTTCTTGGCTTGCTGCATGCAGTTGTAGGGTGTGAGCCAGAACATTTCATACATACAAACTCACGCCTACACACATCCTTCCTATGACCGTATCCCTGACACCTGTGACATTGCGACAAAGGGTTGGTAAGAGTCATAGAAGGAAGAATCCGGTGCAGAGGCGGAGTTTTGGGCTTGTGTGTGACCGGCGTCATGCTCGGAGTCTTGGGCAAGGGCTGAATGGCATCTAACTCATCGTCCTTCTGTTTGGAGGTGGAAACAGTGCCATTGCGCTTTTATTGACCACCCCTGCACAAGTTCTGAGCAAATTTACTCTTAAAAACAGGCGTTTTTGCCAGGGCAGGGAGAGAAGGGAACATATCACTGGTGAACACAACATTGCGCTGCGGAGTTTTGGCCAGATCTTTTGGCGAGGAATGAACAACCGCAAGAGCAGACTCCTGGTGGGTGGCTGACACCTCTGGGCTACAACCATTGTATTGCATCGTGGCCATTGGAGACGACTGAGAATTGGAGGCAGAGGGCACCTTGCGCTTACCTCCCGGGGCACTAAAAGTGGCAACATAGTTGTTCTCCCTAAGGCTCACAC